TGTCCATGGGGTTTTCTTGGCAAGGACACTGGAGTGGGTTGCCATTTCCTTCTCCAGTGGAATTTCAATCTTGCTTAATTTCCCAGGACCTGGCTCTTCTCTTGCAGTGAGAACCCCAATGGTTTGCTTAGCTAGGCTTTAGTATTGTGTGAAAAATGGGAGGTGGCAAGATCTGCTGTTTACAGATCAGCAAGAGCTCCCCTCCAGGAGAGGCTGCCTCCCCTCCTGTCTTTCTAGGAGGAACAGAATTTGGGAAGGAGCCATGGGGGGAGGCAGAAAGAGGGAGGGCGTGACTGCTTTTCAGCCCCCAGGCAGCCTTGGAAACTCTTGGAAGCAGCCGCCAACCCCACCCCATTTCTGGCCCTGATCTAGCTACACAACCCTCTCCCCACCCAGGTTGTCCTTGCCCCCTCCTCAAACTCTGGTGCTGTTGCCCTTTCCTGGAGTATGGTCTTGTGGATGGAGCCCTTTTAGAGACAGGCAGCAGCCAGTCAGGTTGACCCCCACAGGATAGGATGAAACTTGGTAAAATGCCCTTGCTGGTGTTGCACGTCCTCCATCACCCACCCTCGACCAATCTAAAGGACCTTTCTCAACCCCCTCCCCCCAATATGTAGAGATTCTCAGGAAGTATGGGGGAGGGGGCCTTTCTAGGGAAGGTTGGAGTGGGCTGCCGTTGCTTTTCTCTGCTGGAGCAACCAGAAAAATAGGATTAAGTTTCAGAATGGTGGCTCCAGTCCACCTTCTGTCAGACTACAAGTCTGTATGCTCTGGTCTCCCCTGAGAGCAAAAAGGAAAATGGATCAAAGGTACCATTCCATATATCCCTTAGAGTTACACCCCTGAGCAGCAGGACCTGGTGTTTCCTAAAGCTAAAGCATCACATATGGTCGTTCCAGTTTGAAGATCTGTGAGTCTGGTGCCTGGCGAGGGTTGGAAGCCATAGAACAAGGTCTCCACATTTGAGGAGTCCCAACAGGACAAAACCGGCCAGGTGGTGCCTCCTGGTGGTCAACATAAGTGATAGAATCAAACATCTGTCCTTTCTTGAATAAGCTTTTCTTAGCTTGGTTGTTTTCTTGCAAACGTTTCATTACCCAGCTAGGTAACGACTTCAGTGCTCTGAAGGTGTTACCTAGCCGGGTAACAAAACGTTTGCAAGAAAACAACCAAGCTCATAGAACCCTAAGGACTCCACCGTTCAACCCTGAGCCACACACATTCGCTTCTATTGGTAAGCTTTTCTTAATTGGGTTAACTCAAAACTGTAGCTAGATATCACAGATTTGAGTGGGAGGGCTAATCCTCTAGAAGACAGAAAGTTGGAAAGTTTGAACTAGTTCTAAGAGCACAGAGAAATAGGCTGAAACTGCAGAATGACTGAGATAAATGCCGAGTCCTTCACTAACAAAAAATAAATCAAATGCACTGATACAGAGCAAGAGATGCATCAGCAGAATGCCTGAGAAGTTCCCTGGAGTTTTGTTGAAGCACAAGCAGAATATTCATTTGAAAATATATGTGTCAAGATTGATGTCAGCCTTGTGTGGTAGTCCAGACAAGAAACACATCTAGAAGTACGAGCTCCAACATTATTGTAAGGTTATGTTAACAGAATCTTGCAAGTCTGAAAGGACACCTCTCCCCCCTCACCTTTACAGTCCAAGAAAGTAGGGAAGGTCCCTTCTGAGGCATTTGCTTCCTTCTGTGGGCTCAGCTGCTGTTTGTCTGATCCTTGCCTCGTCTGTGGCTCTTCCCTGTCTCCCAGAGCCATTCCCACGTTACAGGAAGGCACCTTGGGCTATTGGGCCATGTCCAGAAAAGCATCCTGGCCATTTCTCTCCAGGGCTGTCTCACCAGCTGCGGGTGGGGGTGGGCCCGGGAATGGATCCCGAGAGAAATCTGGAGAGGAGGCTACTGTACTGTGCAGGACCACGGATGCCCTAGCCATTCACTGGCTCCATCTGTCCAGTCTGTGACTTGATGCAGAAGTTCCCTGGGGAGGGTGGTAGAGAGAAGGGAGAAAGGGTCCACCCTCTCATGCGCCTGCTGACTCTCAGGAGAGTCTCCCTCCTGTGCCCCAGGTTCTGGAAAAGCTACTGACTTGCAATGCCTTCCACCAGGAAGATCAGGGCAGGGTAGGGCAGGGCCAGGAACGGAGGGTGGAGCACCAGGCATGTTTGCACCTCTGCCATGCAAGGTCTCTTACGTTCTCTCAACTTGTGATACAGACAGGAGAGCATTCATGAAGCAATGTGGGTGAGATGCATTTTTTCCTTAATGGAGCCACCTTTGAAGGATGACTCTGTGGGCCTAAGGAAGATCTCAGACTCCACGTCTGAGAAACTAGCACCCTGCAATTCACTCAGATGTGTGTGTGTCTGCCTAACAGGAGGCTTGCCAGAGAGGAGCAATTGACCCTTTGCCCCACAGGACCCCTGTCCTCCAGTGGCTAGACAGGCAGGTGTCTGCTCCAGGGAGGGTGGAAAAAGCCTGGGGGGGGGAAGAACCACCTTGGGGCAGGTCCCCATCTCCCACAGTTACCCCCATTACATGTGGGTTTTCCCTGTTCCTTCCCACAGGGCCCACCTGGAGCTCAGAGCTGAGCGCCTTCCTTTTTTCCTCTCTGCAGGAATATATTTGCTGTTGCGGAAGGCTCACCAGCAGCAATGGAAGTCCCACGGCCAACTGGATCAGCAGGAGGCTCCATTAGAAGCATCTCGGGAGTTTATGTGGAGGCTTCTGGCAAGACCATAAGCCTTGATCAAGCTGTCCAGGACCACCTGATCCAACCAGATCTTGCCCTGGCCCTTTTGGAAGCCCAGGCAGCCACAGGTGGCATTGTTGACCTTGTGGGTGAGCAGCTCATCCCTGTTGCGGAGGCCCTGGTGGTGGGACTCGCAGGACTAGAAATGAAGGAGAAGCTGTTGCGTGCAGAGCGGGCAGTGATGGGCTTCACCGACCCTTACACAGAGGAGAAAATCTCCCTTTATCAAGCCATCCAAAAAGAGCTGATTGGAAGAAAACTGGGCCTGCATCTACTGGAAGCCCAAATAGCTACTGGAGGGGTCATTGAGCCTGTTTCTGGCCATCGCATCCCTCTGCAAGAGGCATACGCACGGGGCTACTTGGATGAGGAGCTGAGGAACTCCCTCTCTGATCCAGAGAATGAGGAGGCCAAGGGCTTCAGGGACCCTAATACTGACCAGATGGTCACCTACACAGAACTGATGAGAAGATGTGTTGCAGATCCAGCCAGAGGCCTGCTCTTGTTGCCACTCAAGATCTCTTTCCCCGGACTGAGAGGGCCCGTGTGTAGCCATGAGCTGCTGGACTCTGGCGTCATTGATTCAGCTATATTTGAAGCCCTCCAGAATGGGGAGGTGACAGCACAGGAAGTGGCAGAGATGGACTCAGTGCAACAGTACATGTCAGAGACCAGCAGCATTGCTGGTGTAGCTGTCCTGCAAATGAATGAATGTAGGAGTCTTTACCAGGCTTTAGTGGAGCACCTCCTCCTGCCTGGCACGGCTGTAATTCTGATGCAGGCTCAAGTGGCCTCGGGATATTTAATCGACCCTGTACAGAATGCAAAATTCACTATTGCTGAGGCTGTCCAGGCAGGAGTTGTTGGACCAGAGCTCTTTGGGAAACTGACTTCAGCTGAGAGGGCAGTCACAGGATACAAAGACCCCTACACAGGGGAGACTCTCTCTCTGTTCCAAGCCATGAAGAAACACCTGGTGCCCAGGAACCCAGGCCTTTTCCTGCTAGATGCCCAGCTTGCCACTGGAGGCATCATTGACCCACACACCCATCACCGGCTTCCTACAAAGACGGCCCTTCAGCGGGGCCACTTAGATGAAGAGGTGCACAACCTCCTCTGCAACCCTACAGATGATGTCCGTGGGTTCTTTGAACCCAACTCAGAGGAGAAGTTGTCCTATGGAGAACTGCTCTTGCGGTGTGTCACTGATCCAGAAACTGGGCTCTGCCTCTTGCCTCTCTCTGGAGATCATGAGAGGAATCATACCTTTATTGACCACAACACAAAGCTTGCCCTGAAAAACACCACTGTGTCTGTGGCCTCTGGTAGGTTCAAGGAAAAGCTTGTATCCCTCTGGAAGCTCCTCTTCTCAGAACACTTTACAGGAGAGCAGAGGAGAACCCTTACCCAGCAATTCTCTTCCGGGTCCCTTTCTCCTCAACAGCTGGCTGACAAAATCTGTCACACTGTGGAGCAAACCGCTGCCAACTCCCAAGTCACCTTTGAAGGCCTGAGGGAAAAGGTGACACCTGCCCAACTCTTGAGCTCTGAAATCATCAACAGAGACCTATTTGAGAAGTTAACACAGGGAGACACCTTGGTCAAAGAAGTTATTAACATGGGCACAGTGAAGAAGTACTTGGAAGGGACTGGTAGCATTGGCGGACTGCTCCTGCCTGACTCCCAAGAGAGAATTAGCATCTACGAAGCCAGGATGAAGGGTTTCCTTCGACCGGGAACATCGCTCATCCTTCTGGAGGCTCAGGCGGCCACTGGATACATCATTGACCCTGTGGCCAGTCAGAGGTATTCTGTGGATGAGGCCTTGCGTGCCAACATCATTGGTCCAGATGTTTACAGCAAGCTGCTGGCTGCTGAGAAAGCAGTTACTGGCTATCAGGACCCTTATACTGGGAACAAGATCTCCCTTTTCCAGGCTATGAAAAAGGACCTTATTGTCAAAGAACATGCTATTCGCCTTCTAGAGGCCCAGATTGCCACTGGAGGCATCATTGATCCTATCAACAGCCATCGCCTTCCTGTGGAAGTGGCCTACAAACGGGGCTTTTTTGACAAGAAAATGAACCTGATCTTGTCAGATCCCAGTGATGACACCAAAGGCTTCTTTGACCCAAACACGCATGAGAACCTGACCTACCTGCAGCTGAAAGAGAAGTGTATCGTGGAGTCCACCACAGGCCTCTGCCTCCTGCCACTCAACAGGAAGAAGCACCAACTCCTGGATGATGCCACTAAGCAGACATTCAGGAACTCCTGGCTCTTCATAAAATATGGGCGTTTTCAGGGACAAAGAGTCTCCCTGTGGGATCTGCTGAACTCAGAGTATTTCAGTGAGGGAAAGAGAAGGGAAATATTCAACCACTACAGCCTTCAGAAGGTCACCCTGGAGCAAATTTGTCTCTCTTTGGAAGAAGAAATGAAGAAATGGGCTTGCATTGAATTCCCAGCTCTCAGAGGGAAAGTCAGAGCTTACCATCTGCTGGAGAGAGGCATAATTGATCGGGCTCTCTTTGAAGAGATGCTGGATGGAGCAGTAAGCCCAGAGGATGTGCTGTGCCTGGATTCAGTCAAAAAGTACCTCTATGGCACTGGAAGCATTGGGGGAATTCTGCTGCAGCCCTCCAATGAAAGAGTGAGTCTCTATGAAGCTATGAAGCGGAATATTGTGATGCCTGGAGTTGTCCTGCCCTTGTTGGAGGCCCAGGCAGCAACTGGATTCATTGTTGATCCTGTGAACAATGAAAGACTCTCCCTGGATGATGCTGTGAAGAAAGGCCTTGTTGGCCCCGAGCTTTATGAGGTGTTGCAGCATGCAGAAGAAGCTGTCACTGGCTACAATGACCCCTTCACAGGCAAGAAGATCTCTCTCTTCCAAGCTATGAAGAAGGGTCTTCTGGCAGACAGGCAAGCCATACAGCTGATGGATGCCCAGCTGGCTACTGGGGGGGTCATTGATCCACACAGTGGTCACTATGTCCCCATAGAATTTGCCCAGAAAAATGGTTACCTGGATGAGGAGTTCAGGAAAATGCTTTCCAACCCAAGCAGTGACTCCAAGGTTTTCAGCACCCTGGACAGGAAAGAGAAGGTGAGCTATGGCCAGTTGATGGATCAGTGTCAGAAAGAAGCAAGTTCTGGCATTCGCCTGCTGCCTCTGTCACAAATGGCTTCTCCTCGCTACACTGAAGAACAGATCCAGCAGCACTTTAGGGAGACCTTTGTTGAAGACAAGGGGGTCTCTCTCTGGGACCTCCTTAGCTCTGGTTACTTTACTGAGGAGCAGAAAAGAGACTTTTTGGAGAAGTATAACTCTGGAACAGTTTCTCTTCGCCAGCTGGTCAGCCTTGTCCAGGGACTTATTAAGGACATAGAAATGAAAGCTAAAATGCAGGTCACTTTCCAAGGCCTGAGAGGTGCAGTGCCAGCCGTCTGGCTTCTGGATACAGGCATCATTTCAGAAAAGACATTTGCAGAGCTGGCTCAGGGCAAGAGATCATCGAGAGATGTGTCTGAGATGGAAAGGGTAAAGCAATACTTGCAGGGCACAGGTAACATTGCTGGAGTTTTCATTCAGTCCTCCAAAGAAAAAATGGGCATTTACCAAGCTATGCAGAAAAAGCTCCTTCTGCCAGGGGTGGGGGCACAGCTACTAGAAGCACAGGCCGCCACCGGATCCATCGTGGACCCAATGTCTAATCGGCGATTTGGAGTTGAGGAGGCCATCAAAAGTGGCATCGTAGGAGAAGAGCTTATGGAACAGCTTCTCCAGGCCGAGAGAGCAGTGACTGGCTTCCTTGACCCCTACTCTGGAAAACCAATCTCGGTGTGCCAGGCCATTAGGAAGGAGCTCATCCCTGCCAGGGTTGGGATCCCTGTGCTTGAGGCTCAGCTGGCCACTGGAGGAATCATTGACCCTTTTCATTGCCACCACCTGCCCCTCCAGGCCGCCTTCAAGCACGGCTTCTTTGATGAAGAAATGCAGAGGACGCTTTCTCAGGACAGCAAGGAGAGCCACGTTTTCTTTGACCCAAATACACAGGAGAGCCTGACCTATCAGCAGCTGAAGGACAGGTGCATCCAGGATCCCGAGACTGGACTCTGGCTTCTCCCACTATCTGAAGAGGCAGCTTTCTATGGAGACCCACAAGCCATGGAGGTGCTAAAATCTTTCTCCATCTTGGTCAAAGTTGGGAGGTTTAAAGGACAAGAAGTTTCTCTCTGGGACTTGCTCCACTCTGAGTACATCACGGATGGCAAGCGGAGAGAGTTGGTGGTGATGTATAAAGAAGAGCAGGAGGAGCTTCTTCAAGAAGTGGCATCTGCCATCACCAAGATCATCGAAGAGACTGAGCAGCAGGGCAAGATGTTCATCTTCAAGGGCCTGCGGAAAAAGGTGTCAGCCAGTGACCTCTTTCAGTCCCAGCTCATAGATATGACAACTCTGGATGAACTCAGGCAGGGAAAGAAAACTGTCCAGGAAGTCAGTGAGATGGATTTTGTCAAGCAGCATCTGGAGGGGTGCAACTTCATTGCAGGTGTCCTCGTAGAACCCAATCGTGAAAGAATGAGCATCTACCAAGCCATGAGGCAGGGTCTCCTGAGACCAGGGGCAGCTCTGGTCTTGCTGGAGGCCCAGGCAGCCACCGGGTATCTCATTGACCCAGTGAAAAACAGGAAGCTGTCAGTGGACGAAGCAGTGGCAACGGGGCTGATTGGCAGAGAAGTTTATGAGAAGCTGCTGAGTGCAGAGAAGGCTGTCACAGGATACACCGATCCCTACACCAAGGAGCAGATCTCTCTCTTTGAGGCCATGAATCAAGAGCTGATCGTGAGGAGCCACGGCATCCGCCTGCTGGAGGCTCAGATAGCCACGGGGGGCATCATCGACCCCGTGCACAGCCACCGCATCCCCGTGGAGGTAGCGTACCAGCGGGGCTACTTTGATGAGGAAATGAACCGGATCCTTTTGGACCCCACCGATGACACCAAGGGCTTTTTTGACCCCAATACGCATGAGAACCTCACTTACCTGCAGCTCCTTGAACGCTGCATCCAAGATCCAGAAACTGGGCTGCACATGCTGCAGATTGTCAAACGGGGGGGAAGGTACTTCTACATTGACGAGGCGACAAAAGGGTTTTTGAAAGCACAGCCTATGAAGGTACAGGTAGGCAGGTATAAAGGCCAGTCTGTCTCTGTGTGGGACCTCCTCTGCTCCCCATATATCCAGGAGCAGAGGAGAAAAGATCTGGTCAGGCAGTACAAGGGGGAGACACTCACGTTGCAACAGCTCCATAAAGCCATCACCACTATTGTGGACCAAGCAGAAGAGGAAGCCCAGAAGCTCAAGCTGAAGGGGCTGAGGGGGAAAGAGGTGTCTGCTGCAGACCTCTTCAACTCAGAAATCATTGACAAGAAGACACTGGACAGCTTGCACCAGCAGACCCTTACTCTTCAGCAGCTGGCCCAGAGGGACTCCGTGAAGCGCTATCTGGAGGGCACAGGTTGCATTGCGGGGGTCTTGGTAGCCGGCCAGGGGCTGAAGCTGTCTGCCTATGAGGCCATGAAGAGAGGCTTTCTCTCCCCAGAACATGCTCTGATGTTGCTGGAGGCACAGGCTGCTGCAGGGCTCCTTACTGACCTGCTGGAGAAGAAAGCCCTCTCGGTTGACCAGGCCATCTCTGTGGGGCTTCTGGGTGAAGAGTTTCGCGAGAAGCTCCTCCTTGCTGAGAGAGCTGTTACTGGATACACTGACCCCTCCACAGGGGACAAAATCTCTCTTTTCCGAGCCATGAAAAGAAACCTGGTAGAGAAAGCCCATGCCCTGCGGCTGCTGGAGGTGCAGATGGCCACAGGCGGCGTCATTGACCCCATGCACGGTCACCGCCTCCCAGTGGAGGTGGCTTGCAGGAGGGGCTGCTTGGACGAAGACGCTTCCCTTCTGCTGTCTGACAGAGGACTTGTAACCAAAGGATTCGTAGACCCTAACACCCAGGAAAGGGTCACGTACGCACAGCTCCTGCTCAGGTGTACCAAAGACGCGAAGACGGGCGCATCCCTGCTGCCGTTACTGGAGAAGAGGGAGTATTTCTTTGTGGATGAAATAACTAAACGTGTCCTCTCCTCTAGCAATTTAAAGGTCGGCACAGGGAAATACAGAGGACGGGCCATCTCTCTGTGGGAACTTCTTTCTTCAGACTACGTTACAGCAGAAAAGCAGAAAGAGCTGATTAAAGAATATAAAGAGGGAGGCTTCGCAGTTTTGCAGCACATCACCAGTGAAATCCTGAAGATAATACAGGAAAAAGAAGACAGCAGGAAGGATATATGGTTCCAAGGACTACGGAAGCAAGTCACAGCTTCTGAACTACTAAAGGCTGACATCATTAGTAAAGAAACTATGAGTAACCTGGAAGCAGGAAAAGAGAGCGCCCAAGATGTAGCAAAGATAGACTCGGTGAGGAGGTACCTGGAAGGCACCAGCTGCATCGCCGGAGTGCTGGTGCCGTCCAGGACAGACCCTTCCAAGTCAGAGAAGATGACCATCTACCAGGCCATGTGGAAGGGCATTCTGAGGCCGGGCACGGCCCTGGTGCTGTTGGAGGCCCAGGCCGCCACGGGCTTCATCACTGACCCACTGAGAAATGAAAGACTTTCTGTAAGTCAGGCGGTTGCTGCTAGCGTAGTAGGGGAAGAAATCCAGAACAAGCTTCTTTCTGCAGAGAGAGCTGTGATAGGCTACACGGACCCAAACACGGGAAAAACCATCTCCCTTTTTGAAGCAATGAAAAAGGAACTAATCTTAAAAGAGCACGGGATCCGCCTGCTGGAGGCCCAGATCGCCACGGGGGGCATCATCGACCCCG